TATTGTGCATTTAAATGAACATGTTAAATTGAAACCCCCTTGTGTAACTATTTGAAGTTAGCAGTCATTTTTAGCCAGATTGCTCTTTTTTTTTTTTTTTTTTTTTTGGTTGGTTGGGCTTGAACTCTGGGCCTGGGAGCTGTCCCTCAGCTCTTCAGCAGAAGCGAGTGCTCTACCACTTGAGCCACAGAGCCACTTTGGTTTTCTGGTGTTTTATTGGAGATAAGAGTCTCTCGGATTTTCCTGCCCAGGCTGGCTTTGAACCGTGATCCTCAGATCTCAGCTTCCTGAGCAGCTAGGATTACAGGCGTGAACCACCAGTGCCCAGCTAGATTATTCTTATAAGTGGTAAAGGTGATATAGTTGCTGTTCCAAATATGTAACTTTCATTTTATACTTTACGCATATGTGCCTTAGACGTTCTATGAACAACAGAACTGAGTTGATAGGTTACAAACCGGAGGGGAATTTCTGGTTTGAAACAGGTGGATTGGTAGCTATGTTGAAACATGAACATTCACCCTCAACTCCTGAAGTCAGCCACTCAGGCAGGCTTAGGTAGGCAATGAAACCAATCTGCCTCAGTGAGGGGCAGACATTTTTCTCTTGGCTTGAAGACAAGTCTCCAGCTGCTGGAAAAGGCAAAGCTGTCTCAGAGACCAACACATAGAAAACAGCACAATGACCCCAATTAAAATGCTACCCAGTTAGAGTGAGCGCTTAAACCATAAACAATGCCTGTCATTCCAGTGCTTTATAATATGTCTTTAAGCTGTAACATGCTAAAATCTAAGCTACACACACACACACACACACACACACACACACACACACACACACACACACACACACACACACCACTGCCTTGCACTGGCCCTGGGTGGTAAGGGGGAGAGAGTGAAATTGCATATTCTCAGGATACATTACTGTTTGTAGAGGAAGATGAGCCAGTGGACATCCACCTATGATAGCATCAGTGAGGACATATTTACACTGAGGAATTAACAATGCGACGGCATTGCAGGGTGCACAAGGGCCACTATTTCCCAAGTTTGGATGATGGAAAAGCACCAAGTTCAAGGTGGTAACACTTATGAGGTAGCCCACGGACTGCACACACATTGAAGCCAAGATTGCCTTCAATGGCGTCCAGAGCCTCTCCTACCGCATCAGTGAGGACCCTCAGCCAAGTTCTGTGGAGAACAGAGGCATAGGAAGGATGGAAGCCAACAGGTCAACTCAGCTGATCCCCATCAACACAGAAAAGCTACGAAATCCTTCCCTCCTCCAGACAACATTGAGAAAAGACGGAGGGAGACCCCAGGCACTATCTTGCAGAAGTCCCTATACAGACAAATGTGAGGCTGAAGAAACAGGCTCCCCACCCACAACCAGAAAACTAGCCAGAGAAGTGCCAAGCACTCTACAAGGAATGTGTGAGGCAGGTTAGCCAACACTGAAAAAAGGGAGTTTGAGGGCTGAGGGTCAACTCAGTGGTAGAGTACTTGCCTAATATACACAAGGCCCTTGGCTTCATCCCCAGCACCACCACAAACAAACAAAAAACAAACATCCATGAAATTTAGCAAGTTTTATTGAGTATTTACTAGATATCAAGTTCTAGGCTAGTATATAGTAAATGAGAGTGCAGGAATGAATTTCCCCCTTGAGGCATGAGGCTATGACCTGAGCTGAGATTTTCCCTGCTATTCCACTTTGAATCTTACCAAGTCTTATGGTATGAATGCTACAGAACTTCACTGAATAAATGGCAATCTTTATATTCTTGAAGTCATTTCTTCCAAATACAGTTCAGCACTATGTTGAATTCTGGGGATTTAAAAGTGAAGGGAACCGTTCTCATAGAGCGCTCATCCTACTATTCCTGAATGACAGGTCTGAGGAGTTTTTCTTATTGTTGCTGCTGCTGCTGCTGTTTGTTGTGGTGGCACTGGAATTGAACCCAATATGAAATATGACATAGGTCCTGTCTAACTTGCTTTGGGCTAAACTTGAACTTGTGATCCTTCTGCTTCCACCCTGCTAGTGCTGGGATGGTAGACATGCCCATGCGTATCTCTGCTTTTAGAGAATAATCTAAGGACAGCTCCCCTTCATTCAGAAAAAGCCTAGATAATTTCAGCTCTCCTATGATTTTATTTTCATTCTCTTGGCTGCTCCTAAATATTGTGTAGAAATACTTACAATGCGAACTCTGCCTGCCTCCCCTTTCTTCAGGAAGCCTTCCCTGCAACCTTAACAGGCTGGTCTCAGTGGTTTGTGACAACCTCTGGCATTCTACTTGAGGTACCCGATAATCCTATTGCATGTCTGCTCATGGGCAAAGAGACAGCACCACTCAATAGATCCTCAATAAATAGTTGTTTCACTGAACAGTCCTTCCAGCTAAAATGGTCTTCAGTGCTCTGGTTCCTAGAAAGCCTCAAATTTCAAAATCCCAAGGTAAAAGCAAGTGTCAGAAGAGGCCTTGGGACTGGAGGTGCAGCACAGACATGCTTCTGGAGCCTGCAGATCTTCACATAAGATTCATGTCTTTCATGTTTATAAATGTCTCTTCCTAAGTACACAGTATGTACAACCGTGATATTTTCCCTTACATCTCTCTCCACTGCCTGGTACTGTGCAAGGCCTGAGTACACTCACTCCTTATCATCCTATTGAGAGTGTGTTGGGTGCAAGCAAGTGCATCTAACAGTAAACAGCAGTAACCTTGGGAAACAGGGCTAGTAGGAGATGCCAGTACTCCTGCAAGTGGAGCTGGTCCCTTCCCTTTCCTCTTCCCAGCAGTCACCCCCTAAGTTCCCTAGAGAATGTCTCTCCAAATGACTTGGTGACTTAAGTCAAAAAGCAAGATGTCAGTAGGACCAAATTCCCTCTGAAACCTGTCGGAGAAAATCCTGTGTTGTCTTAGCTTCTGGAGGTGGTGGACAAGACTGGGCATTCCTGGGTTGGCACTACATCACTCAAATCTCGGCGTCTGTCACATATGTTCTCTCTGTGTGTTTATCTTCACACACAGATTTCTTTGTTTAAGGGACCAGTGGAGCAGCAGCAGGGAGGCTCAGCCAGTGATCTCATCTTAATGACATTCGCAAAAACTATTTCCGATTAAGATCCCACCCACAGGGGTACTTGCAAGTCAGCACTTGAACGGATCTTTGGAGAGGGCTACAATTCCATCGCTAACACCCAGGCTATGAACACAGTGCTACCTAGACATCAGACAATAGGACTCTTCCTCTTGTCTTCAAGATGCGTCCCTCCCCCAATCTGGTGGTTGAACCCTTTGGGATTTACAGACCTTAGCCACTGTTCTAAGCCATCAGTGTTGGGGTTTCCAGGCACATGTTATATTCGACAATAAGCACAAAGGGATGTGGCTGGGGACTTTAAGGAGCAAGAAGAAAGAGAGGAGCTTTAAGAAGCAAGAGGGGAAAGAAGTCAGGAACTTCCCCAGCCCTTAAGCGAGGTGGGCGGGCAGTTGTCCCCTAGTCGGCTGACCACAGGCTGTGAGGGAGGCCCGGGACCGGGGACCGGAGGTCGGCAGGGGGCGCCCGAGGGCCTGCGGAAGAGAGGAGGGGCGCGGAGGATGAGATGCTGGGCGGGGCCATGGGTGGGGAGGGGCGCGCTGGGTGGGGAAGGAAGGGCTCCGGGACCAGATGTTGGGCGGGGCCCAGGGACTGGGTGCTGGACGGGGCCCAGGGATGAGTTGCTGGGCGGGGCGCTGGGCGGGGCGCTGGGCGGGGCGCTGGGCGGGGCGCTGGGCGGGGCGCTGGGCGGGGCGCTGGGCGGGGCGCTGGGCGGGGCGCTGGGCGGGGCGCTGGGCGGGGCGGGACGCTCCAGCAACTTTTTGGTTGGCTGCCCCCCATCCCCCGTGCTGACGACCCAGGCCTGTTTTAAACTTGGTCTCGCGGGCGCCCTCCCCTTTCGACCGCGCAGCCCTCTTTGGTAAGTCGGTCTGCCTCTTGGGCTGTGGGGCCCCCGCCACGTGGCCTCGGGCCTCGCCCCCCTCCTTCCCCCCAGGCGCCTGCCTCCTCCCGACCCCGGAGCCGGGAGTTTGGCGAAGCCCCTGGGTGAGGTCCCCCTAGGGTGGGACCCTAGGGCCCTGGGTGGCCTCCAGGCCTTTGGCGCTCGTGGGGCCCTCGGCGGCCCCAGAATCCGGGTGAAGTGGGTGCGATCAGAGGTCTGAGACTTCTTGCAGAGTTCCCATCCGAGCAGTGCCACTGTAGAGTTAGCGACAAAGCGGAGGTATCTCACCCCCACAGTCACCCCGACACCACCAGTGCCTGCCAGTGCCCACTTGGCGCCGCCGTGGAGTTTGTAGAAGGCTTGGGGGTGACTTTGGGTACTTGTTCGGCATAGTAAGTCAGGCGGGCGACGGATCCCATCACTTTCTACCCCAGATCCATCTTGGGCAGAGCACAGGCCTCTTCCCAACGTGGAGCCGCCAGTGAATGGCCCGTCTTGGTGTGCTGTCCCGGGGTGGGGGTGGGGGGATCAGAACCATTGGATCTGACCTGGATAGAGATCTAGATACCTTAATTATGTCTACCAAGATGTAGCAAGAGTGCCCGGGTCTCGTGGAGAGTCTAAGCCTTGCGATATCTGCCTTTTGAACAGCTATCAGCGTGTGTTTATAACTCATACAAATTGCTGTACTGGAGTATGTTCTTTTAATGGGGGAGAATCTAAATTTAGACCTGAGGCTGTCGGGCTGTTCTGCCACTTAGTGACAGTGTAAAACCTGGGCTTGGCATATATTCCTCAGCTAAATTCCCTTCTAATGAGGAGGGGGCTGGGAGGGACCTCGGTGTTAATAAGAAAATCATCAAGTGCTGCAGCCGGTGAGCTGAACACGGAAACGACTGTCCAGAAAAGCTTAGTGTCTGGCCAATAGCCCTTCACAGGACCATTCAGGAAATGGTCTTCATTTTACAACTCTGCTTTAGGGGTTAGGATCCCTATCAAGCCAAGTAAGTTTAACTTGGACACATGGGAGGCTTGAGCTAAGCGCCAGTCCCAGGCATGTCAGTGAGTCAGGGTTTATTTAAGGATTCAGTTAACTGCTCTCAACCCCTGGTATCAACCACGGGACAAACAAGTTTCTTGCTGCTTTTTACATGTAGAGCTGTAAAAGGTATGATTCGGTTTTTACTGTCCAGTATAATGTTTCACTTTCCTAAACTTGATACTGTTGGATGTTAATACAAGGAAAGAAAAGTTGGATGGATAGAACTCAGAATATAAGGATCTTAGTTTGCTTCATTTTACTCAGCTGCAAATCAGAAAACTCCCAAGTGCCAGAAATTTGGAGGTTAGGGCTTTGTACCAAAGTTCTATTGAAGGCAGCTAGCAGCCATAACAAAAGCCATTCTTTTGAAAAACTAAAGCTCTGACACATTCTTTACCAGGTGCAGTGGAAGAGTCCTGGTGGTCATAAGGTATGTATGAGCCAAATGGAAGAGTTTGCCTCATAGTGAAGTCGAATTGTTGGCCAAGGATGAGAACTCAAATCTGACTGGACTTGCTTCCACACTGATGGGTTAAAGGATTTACCTGAGGCCAATTGATAAGCAGGAATTTACTAAATGTAGTCACATCACCCCTTAAGTTCTGCTTTTTACATAATTATGGGGAGAATTGTTAAGACCTCAACCAAGAGGGTGATTTATTAGCTGCAGATCTGAGTACCTGCTGTGATATTTCTTTTATAGGTCTTGGTGCTTAAAAGAATTGAAGATCCTGAAGACAAGTTATCCAAAACAGATTTGACTTCTTCACCCCTTTATTGATGGACAAGTTGATTGCAAGGGAGTATAAAGGATTTTTTTTAAATGAATTTGCAACATGACTGGTGGGTTTGAATGACTGCATTTATCAAGTCCTAACAGAATTTTACTGAATGTACATTTATAGTTCAATAAATATACTTTTAAAAACATCCTTTCTGGTGTCTTTGAAATAATATCATTTGCTATTACTGACTTACTAAGAGCAGGATGCTTGTCATTTTGTGCATGTTACATAAATGATTCAAGCACACAGGAAATACCTGAGAAGTAGGTACAAGTCCTTAAAAGCAATGCTTGTAATTCTAGCTTCTCACTAGGCTGACAAGTTTGGGGCCAGCCCAGGCAGAGCAAGCTGGGAGACTTATCTCCCAAGGAAACAGCAAAAATACTGCAAGTGAGGTAAGGCTTTAGTAGTAGAGACTGTTTGCATTATCCCCACCTCTGGTCCTCAGCTCCACCCAGACCTGACCTCCCCCATAATATGGTTTCCACTTCCTCTCACCTCCCAGAGCTACCCATCTGGATTGGGGCAGATGGCAAATGGCTCCCTTATGATAATCTTTCTCTTGTGCCTGCCTTCCTCCCGCCTGGTCCCCTGGGATGGTCATGATGGATCCTAACAGTCAACCTTAATTGAATTGAAGGTGAAACTGTTCAAGCCCAGAACCAGCAAAAAAGAATTGGCACATTCAGGGCTGGGAAGGTGGCTCAGTAGTAGAGAGCTTGCCTTGCATGCCTGAGGCCCTGGGTTCGATTCCTCAGCACCACATAAGCAAAAAGAAAAAAGCCGGAAGTGGCACTGTGGCTCAAGTGGTAGAGCGCTAGCCTTGAGCTGAAGAGCTGAGGGACAGCGCCCAGGCCCAGAGTTCAGGCCCCACGACCGGACCCCCCAAAAAAAAAATTGGCACATTCAGATTGTAAAAAATTCACTGGCCAAACTTGATCCCAATCAAGTTGAGCCTTGGCCAATTTGGTTCTATAGATATCTTAAGGTTTGGACTGCTAGCATAATTGCTGGTAGGGATTCTACCGATTGAGCTATACTGTTAATCCCTTTTGTTAGTTTTTGAATAGAGTTTCAAACTTAATGTCCAAACTGGCCTAGATTCCTGTTTGTGTTCCCCTGACTTGGGATGGAAGATACCTGTATATGGCTCAACTACTGGTCAAGATAGGATGTCAAACATTGCCAAAGCTGGTTTCCAATCTCAACCATTAACCATTAAGTCTTATCCCAAGCTGTCAGTCACAAGAGATTTCCTTCATGTACAAGTCTCTCACTTGGGATTACTATCTTCTGAAAACATTTGACCAGACTTAAGACCCCCCCCCCCCCCCCCCCCAAGAAAGCCTGGTAGTTTAATCTTGCCCTTTCATTCCTGCTTTGTTAACGTGCTGGGTCTAAGGTAGCAGAGGGTCCCTTATCACTGAGTGCAAGTAGCTAGGTTTTAGGAGCAAATCTTAGCCAGGCATGATGGCTCAGAAGGCTGGAACCTGGAGAATCATTGTTCAAAGCCAGCCCAGGCAGAGAAGACCCTTAATAAAAAGGCCAGGCTGGAGGCATGGGTCAAATGGTAGAATGCTAGCCAAGCAAGTTGCATGTGAGGCCCTAAGCTCAAACCCCAGTACCTTACTAAGAACCTTTCCTGTGTGCTTGAATCATTTATATATCAACACTCAAAATGACAAGTATTTGCTGTTCTTAGTAAGTAAAAGGTACTAAGAAAATCAAATATTCCAGTATAAAACTGGTGTATTTCTAAGGGGTTTGAAACCTAAAGTATTTTATTAGATATTTTAGTAAATATTTGCTGACTATTAAGTCCTGTGTGTTTACAGTTGCTTATACATTGTGTGATGTAAGGTGGTTGGCTGTTTCCACTGATGTGTTATAAGGGATAATTTCACTGTATATGGGTCAATGGCTGAAGGATTTTATACAAACTGAGGAAACCATATTTATGCCTGTACTACTTTAGGTTTCAAACCCCTTGGAAATACATCTATTTTATACTGGAATATTTGACTTTTATTAAGAACAGCAAATGCTTGTCATTTTGAGTGTTGTTACATAAATGATTCCAGCACACAGGAAAGGTTCTTACCCCTTATAACTAACCACATTCTCCAAATGACCTGGCATGTTTTATATAAAGATATACAACACAACCACAATAAATAATTAGATGGGAAAATTAAAAGCCCAGCAAGAAGAGAGCAGAAAAGTAAACCAAGCCATTAGACTCATTCTCTGGCTAACTCGACTCTGCTCTTTTAAGAGCAGAAAAATAAAGCCAGCTGCCAAAAGTTGATTCAGCAATTGACCACCACATCAATGTAGAAGAGACTGGGCCTAAGATGCTCTTTCTTCCCTCATGAACTCAAGAACTTTGAAGGAAGAAGTGGAACAGTGTCTGATAAGGATTTAGGAATGGTAGAGGTTTCTGTGTTTGAACAAATGTCCGCTGACTAGATGACCTGGGTTGTCAGCCAAAGCCAGAGGCAACATTTCCTGAGAGGAAACCCATGCCCAGTCTGCAAATAAATAGCCAGAGATATGTTTGAAAAGTTTATTTTTTTAAAATTTCATTCTCATAAAAATTACTGTTCCAAAATTGACTATGTTTAGAAACTGAGGTTCTGATTACAGTATTTTGTGATAGAGTTGTGGTACATCACAATCCTTAAGTATGCAACTGTGACTAGAAGGCCCCCTGGTGGAGCTTCTTTAAACTGTACTGGACCCTTTTGCCCTGCCCCCACCCCCACCCCTTTACCATCTGCATCTCCAGAAGAACAGCTCTACTCTAGTCTGTTTCAGAGACAAAGAGAGTACACTCAGTCTTATCTATTTGATGCATGTCACCCTGCTATGTTTTCTGGGAGCAGAGCAGACTGTGGGAGCTGATGGAATGAGGTATAGTGCCATTAACGTTAGACGGCCTCTCTTGAATGTTACCCATATTCCATGGCAGCACAGACCTGTGTCTGTCTGACTGTGTCACCTTTAGGCCTCCTATGGTGGAGAGATATGTAGAGGTTTGAGAATCGTCAGTCTAAAGCTTCTCTCCAATATGGCCGTCACCAGCCAAATGTGGCTACACAGTACTTGAAATACTACTGCTCTACGTTGACATGTGTTGGAGACATTGCTTTTTTAAAAAAACAACTAGAATTTAGATGTGAAGAATATGAAAGTAAAAATCTCAATTTTATAATGATTGCAAGTTAAATGATAATTGGGTACACTAGGTTGGATAGTATGCTTTACAAATTATGTAAATATGAGTTGCTTTATATTTCTATTAGAACTGGTGTAAAACAGGGATAAAAATAGACATGGAAATATGCAAATAGTAGCCCACGATGTCATAGAAAGATACTGTTCTACTAACGAGAGCCTCAAGGAAAGAAAGAGTAAGATTAGCACTCAAAATGCAGAACTTACAAAGAAGCCACTATTTTATTCAAGGACAGAAGCTGCAGGGGTAGGGAGCTGGCACTATTTAGAAAACTTGGCATAAATTCTACTCTAACTCTGCTTGTGCTGCTGGAGATTTTAAACATGAGGCTTAATGTATTTTTTTGGACACTCTTGTTCTATGCTCTTCACAAACATTTGTGTGCTCATGAGAGTAATCAAGACCAAAGGATTTGGCATAGTGAGTCTTATCAAAATATAACTTCCTGAGCCTGGTGTGGTACACAAGCCTATAATCCCAGCACTCAGGAGACTAGAAGCAGGAGGACCAAGAGTTCAAGGCTAGCCTGGGTTATATATAAAAACTGTCTCAACTTCCTTAGTGAAGAATTCAAATGACTAGTTCTGGTCTTCTGATTTAGTCCTCTCTCTCTCTCTCTCTCTCTCTCTCTCTCTCTCTCTCTTTCTGTAGTAATATAGTTTGGGGGCTTTTTATGGATGGAGAAACATTGGGGATGTAGCACCATAAATATCAGAACTGGTATACTCTTTTTTTTTTAACTACCTATGTTAAGCAAAACATTCCATGACATGCTCTTCTTGCCCCCTCTGTTTTATTCAACTGCCCTAAAACTCAGGACTGTGTAAGATTCTCTTTTTGTAGTTTTCTTGGACCTAATAATGATATTTTGCTTTCTTCTAAACTCAGGGCTTCAGGCATACTAGGCAAGTGCTCTACCAATGAGCAACATTTCCAGCCTTCCATTTCCAGCCTTCACAGTGAACAAAATCTTCCCTTAGTTTTCATATCTCTCTTCAACACTGTTTCTTAGTTGGGGAGATATTTGATATTATCCAGAGATATTTGATTGTCACAACTTGGCGTGTGTGTGGGGGGTGGGGGGGGGGGTTGCTACTGAGCATCTGGTGGGAAGAGACAGGAGATGCTGCAAAAATACAGGACCTCCCCTATAACAAAGGATAGTCTGGTTAGACACCAGTGGCTACTTAGGAGGCTGAGACCTGAGGATTGCAGCAACTGGGAAATGCCATCTTAGGATGTATCATTCCCATCAACACCCACCTGCTAAGGTGCTCCCGAGGGTGCTGCTGGCTATTTCTGTCTATCACATTCCTACTCAAAGGGTCTCCAATGTAGGAGGCCTAAGAGAGCTTTATTGCAAGTGCTCTAGTTCTTAGTATTATTTTAAGACAAGAGATAATAGATTTTTTTTAGCTTCCTCATAAAGCTAGCGTTATTGATTGTAAGTGACTCCCAATTTGTTCATCACAAACTACTAACATTCATGTTTTGATTTTTTTTTTTTTAATTTTGTTCAGGTCCCTAAGGCTTGAACTCAGTGTCTGGGTGGTGCCTCTAAGCTAGTACTGTATCACTTGAGCCACATCTCCACAGAATGAATATATATATATATATATATATATATATATATATATATATACATATATATATAAAATTTGTATTGAAAATGAGTCTCACAAACTTCTCTATCAGGGCTGGTTCAAATCACAATCCTTAGATTTCAATCTCCTGGCCAGCTAAGATTACAAGTATGAGCCACTGGTACCTGGCTACATTTTTAGACTTTTGAGACAGTCTCACTATGTATCTTAGGCTGGTCTCAAACCACAACCCTCCTGCCTTAGCCTCCTGAGTCTTGGGATTTCAGGCATGAACCACCACACCTTACTAGTGGCATTCTTCAT